AGGTTAGCTGGTACCGGTAGATGGTTGGAACATGCCTGATCAGGAAAAATAAGCTGAACTTTAAATAAGAAGTTAAGAAACATTCATCCTCTTGCTGCCTGACAAAACCCTAGGTGCAAATAGAACCCCATAATACCAATACATAAATTGTTGTTTTTTCTCCCATTTTGCTGTCTTTCCCCCCACAGCAGGAGTGTACCAAAGAGTTTTAGGATAGAGTAATGCTAGCTTTTTACCACTTCTTCAACCGTTAGAGAGATAGGCTAACTGTCTGGCTTTACTATCCGCCTGCTGTCTGACTGACACAAGATAAGTGTCAATGTTCTTGTTTTACTTTGGGAATTTCCTTCATTTAAAACTTTTCATTTGAGATGTAGTCATTTAATTTTACTCAATGTTCAAAAAGTGGTCCATGACTACCAGGTGGCTTTTCCCCTATCTCTATTAATTTGACTTGGACACACAAACAGTTGTTGTCTTTGGACCCTCTGACCATTTGATTGGCCTTACAGCTATGGATCTATCCTGGGTCCACTTCTATTTACATTGTATTGTATATTTACAACACTTCTGAAAAAAAAAAAAAAAATATTGTAATGTCACCTTAATGCTGATTATACAGTATACTATGTTCTGCAACCTTAAACAGTCGAGCTATTTCATTATGCATGCCAACAAACTCTGCTTGGTCTCGAACTAATGACCCCCTCGGGCACGCGCAAAAGAAAAAATACGAAAAATAATAATTTTATCAAAAGTGTACATTAAATTGACCTCATTGATCCTTCATTGTCTACAATAAACATGCATTGTTTGGCATTCCTGTAAAGTAAGACAATGTGTTTTTTAATTTTATATGTAACTATTTAATATATTTTTACTGTTTATATTATATTATTTTCTATTTTTGCACAGAGCCTTGTAAGTTGATGCTCCAAAGCACATATGCACCTTCATATAAAAAAAAAAGGTCTTAATCAACACCAGGAGACAGACCCCTCTGAACAGGAAACTTAACAATCTGATGCCAGCCACCACATGCAGTACAAAGACACTTTGATGATTAACTTCAGTTTGGAATCGCACTTTTGATCTAAGTTTTATTGAGATCCAGTGTCTGTATACGGTCATTAAGGTGGTTAGACCCAGACATAGGAGCGAGTTCTAGCTAGGCAAATTTTCCGTGCTTTTACAGAGATGCATTGCACGCAGATGGTGACAGCATGTGGAAGCACAAACTGCAATTTCACCCGGCAATTAGTTCACAGCTAAATGATGTGTGTTTATGTGTGTTTGTAAGCTTTTCCTATGAGCGGTCTTAGCAACCAGCTGTGTTAAAGTGGGGAGGTTTCCTTTAAGAAATAAAAAATACCGGAGGGGTAAATTCAGTGAAGTTGAGCACAGAAATGATAAGTGACAAGCAGAAATTCACACTTTGGCTTCAATGAATTTATTGATAACTTGATCTGCAGTCCCATTTGGAAGTGAAGGATTTTCTGATTTAAGAGGATTAAATGCAGTTGTTGTCATAGCAACAGGTATTTCAATGCCGCTGTGTTTGTCACAAAGTGAGACAGTATTTAGTTTTCCAAGTGTTCTTTCAGTACACTTTTGTTCTATGTTGCGTCATGATGATAGATTGAGAAGGTTTTTATGCGCCCACTTCCCCATGCATTCATTTCCACTTAGAATCATGTTTCACTTTTTGGTATCTCTAGACAGCTTGTGTAACATTTTATTCAGAGCTGCAGCTCAGTGACAGAACAGAAGTTACACAGAAGACGAGTTCAATTTCAGAAAAACTTCTCTTGACATCCTCATTGACAGAGTATTTCCAGATAAACGATTAATGACATGGTGCTATAATACAACCAGGAGGAGACAGGACTAGCTCTGTCACTCTGAAACTTTTGCTAACCTGTATACTCGCACATGTGGGCAGAACCTTTAGAAATTACAGCCAAATCCGCAGATTTGAGACTTAAATTTTAAAGGTTTCTTCAGAAAACTTAAACTTTGACCACTTTACAACATTTATAGTAATAACTTGTTATTGCAGGCAATTTTTTTTAGACGTCACTCTAAAAGACAACAAAGAGATTTTTCTTCGATGTTAATGCCCTCTTTGTTGGATCTTTAAATTTGATCATTATTTTTGGGATTTGCACTAAATTTAGAAGTTTCATCAGCTCTTTACTCAACACCATTTTCAGGGTACCACAGAATACTGAAAAAACAATCGATTCATGCTTCCATTGGGTTGGCAGTCGCTCAGTCTGTAGGGACTTGGGTTGGGAATCGGATTGTTCACCGGTTTAAGTCCCAGTGCAGATGATAGTGTGGAAGTTGGTCTGGTGACTGGAGAAGTGCCAGGTCACTTCCCGAGTACTGCAGAGGTTCCTTTGAGCAAGGCACCTAACCCACAACTGCTCCGGCGCTCTTTTCATGGGGAGAGGAACCGCATACCTTACATATTTGATTGGTAGAACTCAGCAATGAAATGACTAATCACACTGTCAAAAAGAATGTCTTGGATGTTTGTTTTGAGAGGCTTGATACTTATATCGGACCACATCTCATCTGTCACCATTGGAGTCTTTTTCCCTTGCGTAATACATGTAATGATGTTAAATGGGAGTAATGCACATTTTATTTGTCTCTTGCTTTAGATTTCCCATCCCTGGAAAACAAGAACAAAACAGGCTTAACATGTCTCTTTAGCACAGAGTCTAAGCTTGTTTAAAAATCAAATCCCCCTTACCAAAGCAGAGCAATGGCTCACTATTCAGAGGATCCAGATGGTTCCGGTTTTCAATTACAGAAATCTGATTTAGCAACAGAAGACGTCTGCTCGATGTCACAGCCATGTTGTGTTTTTCTACTGTTTGTTGTTGTGGACTGTGTTTATGTTAATGTTAGGCTGGGAATAATGGGGGATGGGAAGTGAGCCAGTGCTCTGCACAGCAGGAAGAGCTATTCCTCCAATCGTTCTTCAATTACAGCGTGCACTAATTCAGTCAACCGGCCTGTTAAGCAGCAGAAAGCTAATTTAGCACAGCTCAGCTTGACAAACACAGCATACTCCAAGTGTGTGCTCTAGTGTGTAGGGCTTATTAGAGATGCTCCGTATGCAAATATCACATTAGTTACAAATAATGTTGGCACAAAATTTGCTCTATCTAAATTTTGGCACCGTCCTCATTCAAGCTGAAGCCAAAATGCAAATTCATGCCTGTGTATTTGTTTAGTTGCCTATTATAGATTAAAAAGTGTAAAATAAAGCATTGTTTAAAAAAAAAAGCTAACAGAGTGTCTATGCATGTAAAGTTTGCCATTTATATTGGCCAATCACATTTGATGTTAAGGTATATTTAAGCAACTCATCTAACTTTAAACACGAGGGAGTTCATCTTCAATATGAAATTTTATTTGTACAACAATTCAGAAACCTTTAAGTCCAGGTCACTACAGAAAACACCTAACTGGGAAATTGTGGTGTTACAGCAGCAGGTTATCAGAGCACATAAAACAATATAATCCAAACTTACAACATTAAATATAGCAAACATGCAATGTTTTTGTCAGGGAAAAATTGGGTTTGGCAATCAGTAAACCTTTTATTTAACATCTACAAATATTTATAGACCATATAGGCTATTTGTGATGAAGATTTCTCACTAATTATTGCTGTATTATGTATTTACCAAAGTCATTCTTTGTCAATGAGGTTCCATGTTTATCATTTACTCAGTGTTTGATAGCTTCAAGTACAGACAGTATAAAGATGTTGCATGCCAAATTTGGAGTCGATTGGATCAGCAGTCTTTTGGGAGTTCCCAATGAAATTATGAACTATCCTTATACTAATTATATTTTACAGTGTGTGTGAGCGCGTGAGGTAGAGCGGATGCAGAGGAAGGGATTTCGCTTCATTATTCAGTTTCACCCTTATTAAAGTCACTCTGCCACACACAGTTAACACTAATTTCATTAGCTTCCAATGTAACTGACTGTCATAGATCGCATTTAGATAATCTAGCACAGTGTCTGTTAAGCAATGACCTCATGTGTTTCAAAAGATTATATCAGTATATTTGACCTAGATATACACATTTATTTTTGACCCAGTCACAATCTTTATTTGGGCCAAACTAAGCTACAAATGGTTTCTTTGTTGTGCAATGTTTGAATTTCTATAACATAAAGTAGCAATTTTAAACAACTTCCCATTCATAACTCAGGGTTATATAACACAATAAACTAGATCAAACATTCATAATGAGCTAACAGATAGCAGTGATGCCTATCTGACATCTGTGGAAACATGCATATTCGACAACCCTCACATTCCTCTTGGACATGTCCGGATTTGCTGCTTTTACACACACGCACAGTTTTCTCTTTCACAACTCGATTACTAGGGGAATAATAAGACAGACGTGCACACAAAAGAAAGATAAAACAGTGTAACATACTGATACGTTAAGTATAAAGCAATGGGTAGGATGGAAAAATCTGTAATGGAAAGCAAACAGCCATTTAGGGCCTAAATAGATTTATTGATACATTAATGGAGGAATGGGTAACATAAAGTGACAAAAGCCTAGAATTAGACAAGCAGATTGATACCATACAAGCCCCTACTATAAATATCAAGCCAAAGCTAGCATGTGATTAGCTTAGCTTAGCATTGTAACAAGATGCAGGGAGGAAAAGCTAGCCTGGCTCTATTTAAAACTCATTTTTAAGACATGCCTGTTTTTTAATCCATACAGTTTGATAATCAGGGAGCTTTAAGAGGTGCTGAATTCTGTTTTTACTTTAAAGCTAATCTCGCTAAAAAACTTTTTTTGCTTCAGATCCTTTGATAACAGACATTTAGATGAGTTGTACTGATCTTTTTATCCAAGTTATTTTCAATAAGCTAATGCTTGGTTTCCCTCAAATATTGAGCTAGTCTATGAATGCATTTTTTTAAAGTTCCCTCTTCTATTTGACAGAGTCTCCTCCAGAGAGGACAGGACGCCGACGCAGCATGCCAGGCAGCTCCTCCGACAAGACCACACCAGCCATGGAGGCTACACCCACTGCGGGCACACCTTTCAGAGTCACCGTGAGTACTGTGAGTTTGCTTTTATGTATCGTCTCTGTCTTCTTCATACATTTTTACTCTGAGTCTGTCTTCACCTTGGTTTATTTCTCAGTTGAAGATAAACGTCAGCTTAAGGCCGGTCTGGGGTCCAGATGGCTCCATGCCAATCTGAGACTCATTTACATCAAATGTTGGAATTGGGCCTTTGATGTTTGGGGTCTAACACAACACACATCACCACGTCTTGGGCTTATGTTCAGCACACCATCCTTTTACATCCTGTGGGATTTTTCATTGCATTTCACTGAATAATTTCAACATGCTTCATGTGAGCCGACACGCACACTCCCACAGCTGTTCACGCTCAGCACAGGCACTTTCTCACTCACTTCTAAGCAAACTGTCCTCCTGTCAAACACACACACACACATACACAGGAGTCCTTTGTCTGTCATCTTGCTCTAATTCAAATCGTGTATGCATTCTGTCATGTTTAATTCAATAGATAAACAGCCAGTTAATGAAGCAAGAAATTCCTCTATGAGTCATCAATTTAAAGCTAATTAGCAATTAGCGGTGCATATTTCCATTAATAAATAATGACTGGGGAGATGACAACTTGAGGGTGAACTGTTAACAGAAGATGTGAGGACAAGCAGGGCCACAAGCACTCGACTCTCAGACTCTGTAATAAACAACACACTCGTAAAGAAGTGTAGAAAAACACATTTGGTTGCCTTTGAGTTTAAGACAAAGCTCACAGTAAATTGTAAGAGAGATAGGCTTGAGCCACGAGATTTCGGCAACCTGCAGAGTGAGAACTAAGTGTTTAATGAAAACAGTTCTCACTTGTGAAATCACCACAGCTAGGTGAGATTGAGTTAGCCAAGTTCTTGAATGTTCATATAAAGAGTGAAGATGGTGTTTTGGGGAGGCCATGAATTTCACCTGCTGTGGGTTTTTCTTGTCTCTCTTCTTGCTGCATTTCCTTATTTTCGACTTTTCATACACCAGAAAGGCTGTGAATTGAGTAATTCAACCATTTCAGTATGATAAACCAAGGATCAATGCACGAGGGAGTGATACAAAAAAAGTAAAGAAGCCTTAAAAGCTTGTAGGAGACAGAAGGGGTCAGATAGAAGGGCTTGATATTGATTAAGTGTCTGTTAAGCAGCTCATGCACTCTCCTGGGAAAAACAAGAGTGCAGAGGAGCACTGCAGCAAAGTCATCCAGTCTCTCTCACATGACCACCTCACCTCTTCTGTAGGATTACGGCTAAGCAGCAGTGACTTGTTGCACAAAGAACGCTTCCTTTATATGTTTTACCTTTTCCTGCACATTTTCTTATACTGCCCCCTTCTGGCTGTTAATTGTAGCACCACCACCAAAGTTTCCCATAGTTTTTCATTATGTTGTGTGAGTGTTATCGAGTGAACAAACAAGGTTTCTGACTAAAATTGTGTTGATACTGGATCTTTTTTTCTGCAAGTATTAAGACGGTCGGATGGAAAGATTGAATACCAGCATGGTGGCTTTCACAAACATGGGAATGTAAACTGTAGAAATGCAGTCAGACATTTGTATTCTCCTCCACTCTTGCATCTCCTACTTTTTGTAATGACAAACCACCCCTCACTTACCCTCCCTCCAGTGAAAAGAGTTGTGGTGACATCTAAAGTACCCCTCCTAGGCCTTGAGCTAAATCTGTCAAAATGTTTTTCTCTCATGTTCTTTGCAAGGACTGGGTTCAGTGTCTGCACACACAAACGGGAGCCACACATACACACACATTCATACACAGAAGCACATCCTTAAGTGCTTTCTTTATAACTGTTTCTCTCTAGCATGGGAGAAAGGTACAATCTCTCTAAAGCCTAATCTTCCACAGCCAATTCAGGAATACTAAGAGATTGCCTACCTTGAATTTAAAGTTACAGGTTGGTAGGTTTTCTTATTCAGTGCTGGTTTAAAGAATAGGCAAACAAACCTTATCTAAGTCAGTCATGTCCATGTCCCGCTGATTGCACTCGCTGGCTGGATTGATTCTCAATTGTGACTTAGGTCCTTATCCAATCTCTTCTTGACACCGATCCCCCCCCACCGCCCCCTTCTACTCTCAGATAATAGTAGGGGGGCTAATTGGACAGGTATGTCTCTTGTTTTCCTCAGGTTGTGCAAACGGGGGGACAAGAAAGGTGGATGTGGAAGCTGGGAACACCCTGCTGATTGTCCAGGCACTGATTCTATCAGCTCCCATTAGGGAAGCCTGGAATTGCCTGGCTGAGGGAATAGTGTGTTGTGAGAATGTGCTTTCACATCATGGAGATAAAAAAAGAACACAATTTATCAAACTACTCAAAATTGAGGTGTCATTTTACAGCTTAATTAATAGGTTTGGACAGGCTGAGATTCCCATTAAGTATGCAGCAAACCTGTTACCTGTTATGTACTCTCACAAGATTACAAGATTACAGATTACATATTTGCAATGAAAGCAAGGCAGTGGATAAATGTGGACTATACAATCTTTCCAGAAAAATCAAATTCTCCTCAAGGTATTACAATGAGCTTACGGAGCCTGAAGGATCATGAAAACCATCCTCTCCTACCCTTCAAGAATGCATTTGGAATGAAATTACTCTGGCCCCTCCTTCCACTAATTAACTGTCAACCATAGAAATGTGGAATAATTACAGAGCTCATTGAAATTCAAGCTAACATGTGACACTGTAATGTCCCCTGTCAGGTAGCACGGCTTGTAATAGCCCTTATCATGTTTCTGTGTATGAGTAGGTGCTAGCAAAATGTAAAATAAAAAACGGGATATTACAGCAAAACCATTAATGTTCATGGAAGACCAAAGGTATCAATTAATGAAGAGTATTTAGCTTTATTTATGTCCTGAATTCAGTCGTGTGTTAATATTTATAGGTGTTGTTGAACCACAGGGTAGGTGTATTCTCAAGAGTTGTTTCTCTAGCGCTATAGAACAATAACACGATGTACAGCATGTTAGGTGTCAGTTTTCATTGCATTTGTTTAGGCTTTTGGAAATATCACTTTTAAAAGCTAATGAGATACAGCAAGATATACGGAGGACTCCCTTAAAACAAAGAATTACACATGGGGGAGGTTCCGTTCATCATGATGGACAGCGGTTGCCCATGAACCTTAGGAAGGACTCAAACTTTATTTGACCATCTTTTGTTTCAGCACCTAGCTTGATATTCTCAGCAACCACTGTGCTCCTCTCTGCTGAGCCCTGCTCCGCCTGCAACCTTGTCACTCATTTGCTCTACTTTTCTCCTCACTTTCTCCCTCATTTATTTTCATTCTGTTGCTTTTTCTATCAACTCATGCTCTGCCACCTCCACACTGTGCTCCACTTTTTTTTCTCCACTGTTCCTGCCCCTAAAGCTCATCCCTTCTGTAGCAAGGCACTCAGTGTCATTTTCTCAATTTTTCGACCAGTCTCACCTCTATTTCTGTCTCTTAGTTTCACTATATATGTCTCTGTCTCTGGTTCTATTCCTACATGGTTTTTTTTCTCCGTTTGCAATTTCTCTTGTCATCTGGTATGAGCAGGTGCTGACAGGAATTAAATGCTAACATTTTTGCTGGGCTGCCAGTGTGTCTTGCCTCCCGTGGGGTTTAATCCCTTTTTAATGTAGTCATCATTCATCCTTATTGACTGATTGTAAGTGGCAATATAGGCCGCTCAAATCTGCTGACCTTTAACCAGGGAAATATCTCTACAAGAGCTCTGACAAGCTGATTAAATTGGGAGAGAAGGGTTTTTTAACATCACATGGCTGTACATGTGCACCAGAGAGGGGGGGGGAGAGAAACACTAACTACAGTTTATGTATCTTCTCATGATATCGTTTATTTTTATTCCTTCGTTTTTCAGAGTGCAGCCCGTCAGTGAAGGCGGAAAAGTAAAAAACAAAACAAGCAGCCACTAATCAATGCAGCTCACCTATAGGGACAGGTTTCTGTTGGGACTTATTTCTGTGAATGGGGAAAAAAAGAGAAGCTTTTTAATTTGTTAGCTGAGCCTATGCCAACAGCTGTGGCAGGCACACACCATCTCTAGAGGCTGCTAGGGAAAGGCTATGGAATTACTGTGAATTTGGAGGTGATTGAGAGTGATACCCAGAGAAGAAGTTTGTCACTGTTTGCGCATATGTGTGGGTGTATACTTTTTTTTTTTTTTTTTACTGCACCGCCATCTTTTCCTTGTCATGTTGTTGAAGGAGCTGATTTGAGGTCGATGCTAAGTAACTGAGGACATAATATTCCTGCTGTGATGTTTGAAATGAGCCTACCACTTGCCCACACACTCATATAATGTGAACTGTGTATATACAGCTAATACTTAAGAAAGGGAGCTAGAGTTTCATTTACAAAGGAACCTTGTCAAGAGCCCCAAGTGCTGCTTCACAAAGCGATGACTCAACCATGTTCGTTTAGCTAACAGCCCCTGAATAGAGCTCACCTCTGACAGGTAGTAATAGTAACCAATTAGCTTCCTACCTTATGTTTGCCTTATATGCAATGTCAGATTCAGTCTGGTTGTTATTTAGCATGCCAACAGTGTTGAGGATGACAAATGAAAAGCAGTTGATTTCTTGTGTTTTGTTTGAAGTCGTACGAAAGATTGAAATACACAAGACAATCCGACAACCTTAAAGAGTTAGCAGTAACGGCATGTTCATCAACATTTGTTGAATCCAATTTTCATGTAATGTCTGCCCCTGTAGTTTGATACAATATGTTGTATATACTCATTTAAAGAAGTAGCAATAAATCATTGTTACCCACATTTTTGTATGTAATACTTGCGCCAACTGACATCAATCCAAGTGGGACTTTGGAATACTTCTGTTTAACTCCGTCCTGCTGAAACGAAGGCTGTATGGAAAGTTTAAAGGGGTTGTACTGCCAACTCTAAATTGGCATTAAAAAAAGAATAGTCTTTGAGGCTTCAGAGGCAAAAACAAATCTGACTTTAAGAAGCTCTAAAATAGCTGAATTTAATTTAACATGACCTAAAAGTGCTTGTGACTACAAAGATGTGTTTTCTGATAGAAAAGATGTGCTGGCCAGGGACTCAATAGTGCCAAGATGAGGCACCTGTGCAATGCCACCTGGTGTTTCAGTTTTTAAGGCTTTGATCATTTTTCCCCACTGTAAGGGTGTTTGCTCTTGTGTGACTTTTTCTCCTGCTGTTACTGCTCAATCTGTCAGCTTTAGAGTAAGGAGGATGTAGGTGCATGGCATGGATTCATTTCAGAGACCTCCTTCATGAACTGTTTTTAAAAGAGCCTGCCTCTGGCAAATCTTTTTCTCCAAACATGTTGCATTATCTCCATTATCTTTAATACCGTTATGTCCCAGTCAGTTAGGTTGGTTGCTTGTAAAAAGTCTATGAAGACATCACCATGGCCTTTATGCCACTTTGAATGAAGCACTTATGCAACTTACTAGCATTACACTCTCCCTACTTGGGAAATTCCTGTGTCTTTAAATATCTCACTAAGTTTGTTAAAGATCCCGTATTATGCTTTTTCTGGTTTTATATGCCCTTTAGTGTGTTTTCCAAGTGTCCTGTGCATGTTTAGGCACATCTATGTGCAAAGTCCGCAGAAACGCGGCTTCTCCTACGTCCTCCTGTTAGCTGTAGCATTAGCCGCATGTAACGCTCGGTTCTAGCCCCCCTCGATGAAAATTTGTCAGTGCGGTGTCATTGTCAGTGTGAGATCACTGATCTAAGTCCATTGGCACGTTGTGGCAAGCCCTGCAGCTCATGTTGAAATTTCCGAGACGCGTGCTGAGCAACTGACCAATAACGACAGAGCGGATCGGCAGACCAATCAGAGCAGACTTGGCCCACGTGGGGTCTAACAGTGGGGGCTCAACAGAGCGACTCAGAGCAGAAAGGGAGCAAGGAGGAGCAGTACATGAAAACAGACACTTTTTTCTGACTTAATCTATTGTGAACGTACAAAAGTAGGTACATAGATTAAATATACGAACCCCAAAAAGGGCAGAATATGGGCTCTTTAACACTTTCTGTTGCAAATGTGCAGTCTCAAAGCCACAACATTGGAGCAGTGCATTTTGGGGGTGACAGTGTACATCAACAGCTCACTCAAAGCTGCTACGAATAAGTATGGGATTTGGTTGCAGCTATTGTTTTTACCAAACACTAATGAAACAAAAACTCCCATGACTTGTGTGAGATTAAACACTGACAGTAGCATGCCATTGTGCACAGCACAGGGTGTTATACTGATGACAGGTGTTGTTCATCAGGATGCTGTTGCTCCTCTGTGATCAGCTGGCAGCCTGTCTGGAAGTCGCTCTGTAATTATTCCAATTCCACTGTTGCCCAGGGCGACCTGTTCACATTGTAGGTGGTAATTATACAGGTGTGTTAATGGCCTGACTGGGACATAGGGAGGTGTATTCTCTGTGTAATGCCTGACCTGGTTTTGAGATGTGAGTTTCTTCACTGTGCTGTGGTTTGTAAAGGTGTTTGATCTGTTATTCAGCCTTTGAATCATTCTTTTTTGATTGTAATAAAGAGCTGCACCTGAGCCTGAACACTACATGGTTTAGCACTTTTCTCCTGCATACTGGCTTACTTGTTAAGTTTCCATCTTCTTCGTGCTGCCCTCCTAACTTGCTCTATCAACCCTCATAAACTCGCTCTTTATTCAAAGTCCTTCTTCTTCATCCTCTTCTCCATCTTTCTCCTCTCCATGCAGTGAAATCGTCTCTTTTTTTTTTTTAAACAAGCTATAAAATATGAGGTTTTTTTTTTTCTCTGCCATTTCTGCACCACATCTCATTTGTTCATATTCTCTCGCTCTTAATGCCAGCCAACAGTTGCTATGGAGACGGCGAGGTGCTTGGGGGAGTGTGATTGCAGATGTTGGAAGAAGTAAACACACAGACTCCTACAAAGAGGACCAGAAAACTCATAAATGAGCGTATTCATTGAATTGGTGTATGTGAGTGATTATAAAACCGTGTTCGTGCGGCAGAAAACGAGTGACAATAACTGACATAAGCACTACTCTTAGAAACAATCTATTGTTTTGCGTGAATATCACCTACATGCTAATTGCGTCTACTCTCAGAATGATCTCATTAAGTGTGCTGTCTGTTATTGTTTGACCTTGTCCCACCTTATTAACAGTCTCTCCTATTTCAAGGAGAGACTGTTCTGTGTTCATCTAAACACATTTAAAACTCTCCATTAAATCCTGTGTCTAAGAATGTATGACCAGGAAAACAAATATTAGTATTAATCATTGACTGTATATAAAGATGGACGTCCCATCTCTGCGTCCTTACATTGTACGTCGGTTCTGACATCGTGCCTTTTTCGACTCAGTCTGCGCAGTGGATGGAAACACATATTTCACATATTGATAAAACGGCAAGGGAACCTTCAGGTTGATATGATCCAGAGCAGAACAGAGTCTAGTGGTGGTTTGAAGGAGACACTCAAGGTTATGAAAGGTTCAATGACTGTAGCATTAGTGTTTGTAACATTTCCGCTCGTTGCTCCTTTACTCTGCTTATCCTCTATAACTGTCCTGTTCACACAGCATTGCAGGAGCCGCATTTGTTAACAGAGCTGTCATCACGGCATTATAACCCCTTTAATACCATAACTGCATAAATAATGAATACTTTAACTTCTCAGAAAAGGGAACACTTGGGCATAAAGCAACATGGTACAATCTAACACAATTGTCAGTAACTGTGTTTTTGTCCATCTTTTTGTACAGTCCATGATCTATATACTCATTTCTAACCCAGCATGACATCTCGCATCTAAGAATCTAGGACATCCAAAGAAAATGTCTGTATATGGTGCTTCTTCCAGGTTGAGCGTAATGATTGACATCTCGCAGACTTTCCTCATGAACAAGAAGTGACACTGTGTTGCCGTCTGTCTCTCCCTGTCAGGGCTTTCTAAGTCGACGGCTGAAGGGCTCGATAAAACGCACCAAGAGTCAACCCAAACTTGACCGCAACTCCAGCTTCAGACACATCCTTCCTGGCTTCAGGAGTGTCGACAATGACAGGTAGGTGTTTGTTCGTGGTAGCGACGCTGGTGTGTGTATGCTGGACTTGTTCATATGTCTGTTCTATTCTGGTACCTCTCTCTGCTGATGGCTGGATATTCAGGTCACTGTTGACATCTTTGTGTTGTGTTGTCAGTGCTTTTGTAAAACCAGTGAATACTTAGTCTCCAATCTGTCACTCTGTATATGTCTGGCTCTTTCTCAGCATAATACATGATGACTCTCCTGTCCTCTTTTGTATCATTTCATCTTTTCTTTTCCCTTTTTTTTATATTGTAAAATGGATGCATTCAACTCCAGTGTTTGTAAAAAAATAAAAATAAAAAAAATAAATAAAAAAAGATACATTTTACTCTGTCCTGCTTTAGATCTTGTTAATAGATAATATAGGAACACTTGGCACGATAAAATCATTTCTCGATACTTAATTAGAAACTCAATTTCTGTTAAGTTGCATAGATTGACAATGTACTAACAACCAATCACATCACACAAGCAGAGCTACAACAAGCCCTACATGGAGATGAGATGCATAGAAAGAAGATATTGATTGTGTACCAGAGACAGTTAAGAAAAGAGACGGTGCACTTTAAGTCAGCACCTGATCCTGTGTCACATCGGTTTTGCTTATGGAGATCCAGAGCCTGTTCACTTACAATGAAGATCCCCTCCTCATACTCACCGCAGACGATTTAAAACCATTTTTCGCAAGCCACAAATCTTTCAAACATTATGGCTCTAAAACCTGCTCCTATGTCAGACATATCAACAACCCACAGCTACACGTGACAACATGCATTTCACTCCTCAGTTGGTTGTGAACCATCAGTGTCTCTTTTCACCCAGGTGAACACATTTTAAAGGACTTTCATGTTAAACCATCACATATATCCTCTTAATATTTTTCAATTATAATGATGTTATTGTTATTGCTCTGTCACTGATTTAGGAAAAGGAATAAAGATCGTGTCCATCCAATAAGCAAAAGGAGCATACGGTGTATTATTTCATACAAATTGCAAAGCTTGTAATTAGACATTTACAGATGTCTACAGATTTTCTGCCCATACTTTAACTCTACAACTCCCGTACAGTTGACGAAACAGCCCCAATGGGTCAAACACATTTAAATTACAACATCAAGCATGTTGTATTTGAATTGATGAACCATCAAAGAAGTCCAAACCCTGTACCAACAGAGAAATAACCATCTAATAATAAAGCATGCAGAGTGCAAGCACAGCAACTAACTTTAATCATTCTCTGTGCTTTCCCCTGATAATAAACACTTACACATGCTGCTGCTTTATAATAGCCAAAAGAACATGATGCCAGTTGGTACTGTAAATAAACAAATCAAATACAGGCTCAAATAAGTCATCCTTTGAAAGCATTTAAATAAGAATTTTTAGTTTTTTGTCCATTAATGTTACTTGAAATAAATATTCTGCTTTTAGCTCGAAAGTTGATTGGGGTCTAAATTGTGTGGAAAGGAATTCCAAGCTTAAGCAAATCTTCCAAATAACAAAAGTGATTTAAAATACACTATGATATATAACAGTATAAACTGACATGACAAAAACAAGTGATAAAGTGTGTTTCCAAGCATCCCTGTATAACATTTCATCAATCTCTGTCAGATGTGGCTTCAGAGTCTAAACAGCACCTCTTTATAAGTTCTTCGGTCCACAGTGGGATGTTTTTTTTCGCTTCAGGCTGTGATAATCGCCAGTTTCTGATAACTCCTCCTAATTTCGTCAGGAGTTCAGCCACTCTGCAAACATTTGCCCTCGCTTACTGACGTCAATTAGAATTCCAGACCACTCGATGTTGACCTGAAAATGCACTGCCCGCTCACTCAAAATGTTTTGCTCGTCTTTCAATGTATGCTTGAGTAACAGCTATAATTCCCAGCACCTATCTTTGCTGTGTCTGGAAAATAGCCAAGGTGTCCATCTGTGGAGTTTAATTAAGGGAGGTACCGCTTTTGAAGACATTTTCTATGGCTTTCGGTTTTCAAAACTTGGAGCCGAGTTGCTGCCACTCGAGGTACTTTTAATGAGGCATTACCATCACTGTCAAACTATCACAAGGGAACACTAACAATTGTTCTGGATGGAACATGGTGAACTGTTCCTCTGCTGCAGTCGGACAAAATGAGCTCATACCTCCTCTGCTTTGTCCTGCTGTCTTTTCTGATTCGGCTTCCCACTCTACCTATTTTTTTTTCATGGCGTCTGTATTTCTAACCTTGCTACATTTTCCCCTTTTTGAACTCATCACTCTCCAATTTCATCCTTCCAGACCACCCTCCTTTTTCAAACCGTATTAAGGTTCCCTAACCTATCAGCATTCAAGTTTCCTCTTGATAAAGCGCTCTACGAGAAGGCAAATATCGGACAGGAAATTGGAATGTCCAGGAGGTGTCTTATCTCAGATGGTTTAACACAGAGATACACACTACATAACCCTCGCCTACAAATGCACACATTGACTCCTATATAAAGACAGGTCTCCAGACAGATCAGTTCATGGAATAAAAGAAGAAAGAAGGGCGTCTTCTGTGCCTTCACTCTAGCAGTGTGTTAAATCGACAAGGGACGGATATAGTAGCGTGTGTATGTTTGTGTGCTTTTGAGGTTGTGTGGAAAATAGGGCGAAAGCATGGAAAAGTGGCAGAATGAGAGAGTAATGTGCTGTGAGAGGAGTCGGTGACACTCCCTGTCAGCCTGGTAGCAGCCTCCCCACGGGCTAGAAAAACACTGCAGTAGAAGACAGGCTTGGGAACTAGTAGTAGAGGGAGGCGAGATGATGAGACGAAGGGGAGATGGAGGAAGGAGGGAGGGAATCCTATACCCAGAAAATCCCATCGTGTGCAGATGTGCAGGCTTGAATATGACAGATGCAGTATATGCAAGGAACATTTAGTTTTCAGTGTACATCTCAAACATAGCAGCACCACGCTGTATATTTTCCTAGCCATGTATTTGTATAAACACAGCACAGCACTCGCAAACATTCCTAAATAACAAACAGTGGACAATCCTTCTAAATCACCTTGACAACCTGAATGTCCCCTGTTGACTCAGTGTTCCCTTTGGTAAATCAGAACAAAAGTGAGGTCCACTGTTGGATAGGAAACAAACACACACACACACACACACACACACACATTTCCAGTGTGTATGTAAGCTGTGATGACATTGTTAAGCCTTGTAGCCTGAGGTGGTCTCAGGAGAAACCCCCGGCAGATGAGGAGCAGCTGGACTTCTGAAATGAAATATTCATCTGTGTTAATCAGAGGCCGGACATTCACTGAACACGCTTATCATAAGCAGTGCAGAAACACACTGACCCTGCATACACACAGAAACAAACTGCAGGATTATTTCCCCCAAAGTAAATGCATGTATTTATACTTCCTGACATAACAAATCTTTGAAATACAGTGAGGGTAAAGGGGGCACAATTCTCAACTCCGGTATCACTGTAGAAGTCAATTTTAATTTTTACGGTCAGCAGAAGAGGAAGTTAAAGTATCTTAGGAGTTTTAAAGTTGAGGAACTGAACATATTTCGGAAATGAGGAAGCACTTAATATCTTTTACGGAAGCAGTGACGTGTATATATATATATATTTCGATCTGTGATATGTTGCATAATTGCTTACTATAACTTTACTGTTAATGACAATAAATCATTAAGAATGTGTCTATGTCATATACTGTAACTTGTATGGCTAAACAATGTTATGAGAAAAGGATATAAATGTATAACTAGCTCTACAGCTGAGCCTTTAGGAGAAGAGATGGAGCCTGCAGAGCGATCACTGAGACAGTCCTGTGATTATTCTAATGTAAATAGTTGAGTTAAATGTTGTCTTCCGCCTAGTTCAAACCCACAATCCTCCCTACAGACTCCCTCCTACCTCATAAATATCACGTTCATTATTGAATATCTTCTTCTTTCTGATCATATCTCTGTAAGTCTGTTGTTGCTCTGATACTCTGATCTTCTCTGCATACTTCTCTCATATCACAGAGATAATGTGACCCTTACAAGCTTCCTGCTTCCTCATCTAATCTACGCTGACCTTTCATGGACACTGATGAATATCACAGTAGTTGCATTTTGTCCGCTCTGAGGTTATTTTGCAGCAGCAGAGAGGTTATGTTGGACAATGCAGCATGTGGTAGGGTTAACTTCATCTGTTTATTCTGATAAACAATCTGCACATATAATTTTTACATTATTGAAGAAAAGCACTATTTATCTTTGCCTGTTATATTGCAATAGAGACCTGTATTAGTAATGTTCTGCTCTGTTAGTCTAAGGCAGCACATTGAAACACTTTGAAAGTAGTTGCAGTAATTAGTTCTTGAAAGTTATCTTTTTTTTTTTTTGATTGGGTCAATATATTGCACAGGCTACATATAGCATGTTATTGCTAATTGTGTTGCACTAGCCAGTGGTGGGAGCTGCAAAGATGTAACGCAGTGAAATAAGCTCATGAATACATTTCATGAGAATACACTTATGAGTAAGAGATTGCGTCCAAACACATTGCTAGAGATCAGATCAACGATACTTTGGTTGAGCAGCACTAAATGTAAATGTATGTTTTGTGTGAATGATAACATTTGACAAGACACCCTTCGTAATCATCCAGATATCTTAAAGGCAAACGTTTATTTTCCAAGTCTGTGTTTCTTTCAGTCATGTTCCTGTTTCTCTCTCTCTCTCTCTCTCTCTCTCGCTCTCTTTGCTTTCCTCCCTGTTGCATCACACAACATGCCGCTTACCATTGTATTTCAGGGTCATTTATGTGTTTTTTGACTCATTAAGCACACAAGCAGGAACAGAACCATCCCCCCTTGTCTCTGTGTATCCAGACCTCTGCTGTGTAAAAAGAATACTCGTCCTTGTGGATTTTTTTTTTTGACAGTGTTTCAATGGAACTCACTGATCTTCATTATCGTGTGTGTGTGTTTGTGTGTGTGT